ACAGCCAGATACAAGAGATACACAGAGAGAGGCCTGGGGGAAGGCGTGCAGAGCTTCCATGTCTTCCCCAGGTGCTGCACCCTCTAGGAAGCTCCATGAGTTCAGTTATCCAGAAGCCCTCTGCATCCCTTTTGGGTATTTATGGGCTTCATTATAAAGGCATGAATGGGCCAGGCACAGTGGCTCCTGCCTGTAACCCCAGCACCAAGGTTTGAGGCCGAGGTGGGAGAATCAATTGAGCCCTCAAGCGGCAATTGAGGCCGCAGTGAGTTGTGATTGCACCACTGGACTCCAGGCTGGGTGACAGAGAGAGATGCTGTCTCAAAAAAAGACAAAACGAAACAAAACAAAACAAAAAACCTGGCCAGTATGGTGAAACTCCATCTCTACTGAAAATGATCGCTGCCTGATCCCCACCCCTTGAAGATACCTCCACGCCCTCCATACACATTTGGTCAGCACTGACTGCCCAGCACACTGCACTGGGTGACAAGGACCCAAAGCGACACCAGCCAGTGCCCCAGCCCTCAGCACCTCCCTGTGCAGAAGGAAGACAACACAGAAAAGGGAAGCGTGGTTGTCACAGAGGCCCAGAGGACTGCCGGCTGATGTCACTGAATGGGGAAGTGGTCGGCCGCACGGGCCCTCGGCTCAGTCCTGATGCCACAGTGGATGTTCATGGGCCATGTGACCTCAGGCCAGGCTGAGAACCCCTCTCAGGGCCTCCGTTTATTTCTGTATGAATTGAGGACCATAACAGAGATGCTGCCTGCCTCCTGGGATTGTCCAGAGAGTTAAAAGCTCTTTTAAAATGCATCTGCTGGGCCGGGCACGGTGTCTCACACCTGTAATCCCAGCACTTTGGGAGGCTGAGGCAGGCAGATCACGAGGTCAGGAGGTTGAGACCAGCCTGAACAACATAGCGAAACCCCACCTCTACTAAAAATACAAAAAGTAGCCGGGCATGGTGGCACGTGCCTGTAATCCCAGCTACTCAAGAGGCTGAGGCAGGAGAATCGCTTGAACTTGGGAGGTGGAGTTTGCAGTGAGCCGAGATTGAGCCATTGCACTCCAGCCTGGGTGACAGAGCGAGACTCCGTCTCAAAAAAATAAAAATAAATAAAATGCACCCGCTGGCGGGGCATGGTGGCTCACACCTGTAACCTCAGCACTTTGGGAGGCCTAGGCAGGTGTATCACCTCAGGTAAAGAGTTCGAGACCTGGCCGGGCGCGGTGGCTCACGCCTGTAATCCCAGCACTTTGGGAGGCCGAGACGGGTGGATCATGAGGTCAGGAGATCGAGACCATCCTGACTAACACAGTGAAACCCCGTTTCTACTAGAAATACAAAAAAATTAGCTGGGTGCAGTGACGGGCGCCTGTAGTCCCAGCTCCTTGGGAGGCTGAGGCAGGAGAATGGCGTGAACCCAGGAGGCAGAGCTTGCAGTGAGCCGAGATTGTGCCACTGCACTCCAGCCTGGGCAACAGATCAAGACTCCATCTTAAAAAAAAAAAAAAAAGAGTTCGAGACCAGCCTGGCCAACATGGCAAAACCCTATCTCTGCTAAAACTACAAAAATTAGTTGGGCATAGTGGTGGGCACCTGTAGTCCCAGCTACTCGGGAGGCTGAGGCAGGAGAATCGCTTGAACCCGGGAGGCAGAGGTTGCAGTGAGCCGAGATGGTGCCACTGCATTGCAGCCTGACAGGTGACAGAGTGAGACCCCGTCTCAAAATAATAAAGATAATAATAATGATAATAAATAAAATAATAAAACAAAATGCACCTGCCATTCTTTCCTTCAGGTATGTCCACGGAAATGAGGGTCATGAGGGAAGCAGTGTATCCTCACAAATCCCCAGAAATGAGAGACACAGCCATGCAGGGCCACTTGGGAAAGCACCAGAGTCCCTGGGGGGAGGGGCAGAGGAAGCCAGGGGGAAATAGGGGTGAGCCCTTTTGTTATGCTTTCCATGGAAAAGGCAAGGAAGGGTATGCAGGTTTAGGATTGGCTAGTTAGAATAATGTTAGCAGGCTCTGGGGATTAGGGGCTGTTACTTGTTATTTGGTGCCTGGCCCAGGGTGATGAAGGCAGAGAAATACTGCCTCCTGAAAGGTGAGAGGCAGCTAGAAGAGCTGGTTCAGTGTTGGGGCCCTGGATTAGTTGGTTTGCATATGAAAGGCACACTCAGCCAGGCAGAGCGGCTCAAGCCTGTAATCCCAGCACTTTGGGAGGCCGAGGTGGGCAGATCACAAGGTCAGGGACCATCTTGGCCAACATGGTGAATCCCCATCGCTATTAAAAATACAAACATTAGTTGGGCATGGTGGTGTGCATTTGTAATCCCAGCAACTTGGGAGGCTGAGGCAGGAGAATCGCTTGAGCCTGGGAGGTGGAGGTTGTAGTGAGCTGAGGCTGTGCCACTGCACTCCGGCCTGGCAACAGAGCGAGACTCCATTTCGGAAAAAAAAAAAGAAAGGGACACTCTCAGAGGGGTCATTTGCTAGCTTTAACAACCGGTTGGCTCTGGCAGGGGCAGTCCCTCTTTCTGGTCTTGGAGGTCCAAGATGCCAGAATATCAGCAATACAGTGGGGCTGGGTGAGGTGGCTCACACCTGTCATCCCAGCACTGAGGGAGGCCAAGGCAGGAGGATTGCTGGAGCCCAGGAGCTCGAGACCAACCTAGACAACATAGTAAGACCCCACCTCTCAAAAAAAAAAAGAAAAAAAATTATCTGTGTGTGGTGGTGTGTGCCTGTGGCCTTCACTACTCGGGAGTCTGAGGTCAGCAAATCGCTTCAACCCAGGAGCAATGGTGATCGAGTCCCTACACTCCAGTCTGTGGACACTCTAGTACCTTGAGGATAATACAGCCTGATTACAGTAGCTTTACAGCAACTCTTGAAGTCAGGTATTATAAATCTTCCACCTTCATTCTTCATTTGTAAAGGCCTGTTGGCTATTCTAGGTCCTTTGAGTTACTGTAAGAATGTTACAATTGGCTTGTGAACTCCACATCTATTGGGATCAGAGGAAAGTAGGAACAGGGTGGGTGCCAAGGAGGGGCAAGGGGCTGGGGCAGGGATGGATGTGGCCAGTGAGGACAGGAGGATACTTGCTGGGGGAATGTGGGGACATCCAAGCAGTGGTTCTCATCATGCTGTGCAGGGTGCTCGCCCCCTCCCTGCCCCTGCTCCCCACACACGACTTCCCACGCCTCTCCCATGAGCACCTGCGCTAAGGGGCTGCATTTAGGCTCCGCCCACACTGGAATCACGCCCTCCTCCAGGCCCTCCTCCTCCTCCCAGAGCCCTGTCTGAGAGAGAGCCACAGTCCCAGGCTCAGTCCCAGGTCCTGTCACTGCTGTTGGGGGAGGGAGGATGAACAAACCCAGGAGACCTCACAGCATCCCAGAGCAGAAATCCTGACACAAAAGGAATCTCCCATGGGGGTTCAGCTGGGTCCAGGGCCTGAAAGTGACATCAATGTGGACCTTGCATCTAAGGAGATCGCACGTGGCAGCACTGGGGCAGAAGACCCTGGGAAGCATGTGCCCTCCAGAGCTACCCAGAGGCTGTTGGCTGTAAGTTCTATGTGGCCCCCACCTTGGACAGCCTGGTAAGCAGGTGACCCTTCAGCCAGGTCTTCAGGCAGGGTGGACCACCCTCTCGAGGCCCTGCCCAGACAGCCAGGGGGTCCCTTGTCCTCTCTTCAGTCCACCTTTGCAGATGGGACCAGTTCAGTCCAAAGCCCCCATGCCTCCGTTTTCCTGTGGGTTGAATGGGGAGAATGAGGTGTTGAGGGCCTGGCTCACACGGAGGGGTTTCCTGAGCACGGGGGAACATGTTTCCTCCGGCCTGTGAATGGAGGGAGGGAGGGCTGACCTGACTGGCCCTGGGAAGCACAGAGGAGCCTACTGGGGCCAGGGAAGAGACTGAGAAGAGAAGGGAGGCCCATCCCTGCCTGCTTCTGTCTCAAGAAGGCTGATGCCATTTCCTCTGACGAAATCCTGTCTTCCTGCCCCCATGGCCCCTTAGCTGGAGGGGCCACCTCACCCTGGAGAGGGTGGGCAGAGCCTCCTACGGAGGGAGCCCTGGGGGCCACCAAAGCTCCCCGCTCCAGCGACCACCCCAGGCAAAGGCCAGCAGAAACCCGTTAGAGATGGGTCCAGGACTGTGTGCGGGGTGCCCACTGTTGCTCTGAGCCTTCACTTCCTTCTGTGTCCAAGGAAGCTTCCGGATCAGCCAAGGGCTCAGGTGTGTGGAGGGAATGACCTGAGGTGCTGTATGAAGGGACAGCCTCCTGTCCTGCACTCAGAAGTTGAGGCCCAGAGATTCTGCCCTTCAGCCAGGCCCAGACATCTGGGTAGAGGGAGCTCCTGTCCTGGAACTGCCACTGCAAGTCACGTGGCCTGGGGCAGTGCTTCTTGGAGCCCTGTCCCCACCTGCATAGGATGGGGAGGTCAGAGGGGAGCCTGCAGATCCAGTCTCACGTCTAGGGGGTGAAGGGGTGGCCTCCAGAAGGACCAGTCTGTGTAGGGGACCATCAGCCCCCTCACCCCTTGAGCAAGGTCGTGGTCCCTGCACCAAGGGAGCGGGCCTGGGATGGGAAGAGGCTAGCTGGGCCCTGGTGGTGCCTGGGGACTGCATGGGAGTCCCTGCCAGGGAGGGAGAGGGACAGAGGACAAGCTGGGGACTCTGGTGCTTGGGCTGGGGTCTGAGCGCCTGTCACCTCCACCAGCTCCCTCCTCCTCCTCCCTGAGGACTGAATCTGGGACACAGAAGGGCAGAGAATCAGGCCTGCCTTTCCTCTCCCTGAAAGAGCCTGTGCTGGCCCTGGGCAAAGAGAAGGATGAGAAGTGAAGCTGAGTGAGGTGGGGCTGCAGGGATCCAGGTGGGAGGGGCCCAGCCAGCCAAGGTTAGGCCCGGCCCCTCAGCAGGAGGACAGGCACTGGGGCCCTTGGGCAGGGCGCCGACTTGACACTGACCACAAGGGAGGCCCTTTTGCAATAGGAGAATAGAAGCCGGATGGATAAAGGAAGTGCTGGTCATCCTGGAGGTGCACGGGTTTGAGGAAGGCTCCCGGCCCCTACAACCCTCTGCGGAGCCTGAGCCCGGCTGCCCCCACTCACCTCAACCCCAAGGTGGCCCCACCACAGGGCCCCTCGCTGCCTGGACGGCTCTGCTGGTCTCCCCATCCCCTGGAAGAGAGCAAGGCCATGGGCCAGCTCCTGCTGCTGCCCCTGCTGCTGCTGCCCCTGCTGCTGTCGCCAGCATTTCTGCAGCCTGGTGAGTGCCCAGGACCACCCAGATGTGGGCTCTGCCCAAACCACAGGAGAGGCCAACCCGAGACAAAGGTGGGACATCTTAGGGAGGGCCCAGGCTCCCACCACCAGGAAACAAGGGTGGGTCCCACAGGGTCGGGTGCCCCCATCCTCTCTCTCCCATGCCTGAAGAGTGGGAGACCCAGGCCAGAAGTCAGTCCAGCCACCTGTCACACGACTGCCTGTGGATGAAGGTTCGGGAGGGTCTGGGGTCACCCTCTTTGTGTCTTGCGGTGGCTTCAAGGTCTCTCCCCCACTCTCTCCCTCCCACCTCTAGGTGGCTCCGTGGGATCCGGTCCAAGTGGCGGTTATGGGTTCACTCAACCAAAACACCTCTCAGCCCCTATGGGTGGCTCCGTGGAAATTCCCTTCTCCTTCTATTACCCCTGGGAGTTAGCCACAGATCCCAACATGAAACTATCCTGGAGACGGGGCAACTTCCACGGGGAGTTCTTCTACAGAACAAGGCCAGCTTTCACTCACAAGGATTACTCGAACCGGCTCTTTCTGAACTGGACAGAGGGTCAGGACCACGGGCTCCTCAGGATCTCGAACCTGCGGAAGAAGGACCAGTCTGTGTATTTCTGCCGAGTCGAGCTGGACACACGGAGATCAGGGAGGCAGCAGTGGCAGTCCATCGAGGGGACCAAACTCACCATCACCCAGGGTGAGTCCAGCTGCCC